TGAATGTTTTTGCATTCGAAGTTATTTCAAGGCACCCTGTCGTATGTGGTATCTCCACACTGGATATTGATCACACTTCTATACTGGGATCTACTTTACCTTCTATTGCATGGCATAAAGCCGGTATTCTGAAGAACGGTTCGCCAGCAATCACGAGTTCTGCTCCTCCTGATGGCTTATGCTGTGATGGCGAAGCGTGCCGAAGAGCGTGAGGTGAGCTGTTTCAAAACAAAGTGCCTTCACCATAGCGCTCCATAAAAATTCCTCTCTTGATAGATGAGTAAAGCAGTATGCGTTCACACTCTGTCATGGGAAGAAATGGAGAATCGGCTGTTTGACGATTAGGCTGCGTTCATAGTTTGCGTCGACATTTTAGAGCGAGTTGGGAGAATCGGCATTTTGGGTGCCAGTCAACGGCTCTACTAACCTTTTCGCTCTAAACGTGGCATTTCTCCCAGAACTGTAGATCAATACCTATACTTTTCCAATCGCCCAGAACTCTCGAACGCCACAGCTCTCAGAACGCTCTGAACGCTGGCGTTTCTCCCAATGCACTAGATGGATATTTTTCTTCTCGCCCACACGCTCAAAATCGCTACGCAATGTATGAACGCAGCCTTACGGAAAATGCGCGCAAAATGAGTCGGTGGCTGGTGCGCACTATCTCGTTTCGCCGATCCTCCCATCCTGTTCTATCAAGTTGCTAGCAACCAGACTTGATCGATTACCTTCTACTCTTTGGCGAGATCTCGTAAAATATTGAACTGAACTACCGATTCTTCTACATTCCTACCCTCCTGGATCACAGAGTATTAACGCGGCCTCGGAGAGCTTTTTGGGGGTTTCAGAGAGGTTTTCAAAGAGCTAGTCTCAAATTAGAAGTGATTAAAAAGTTGAAAAACCTCATGAAAATACCAGAGGTGTGGTCTAGAAAGCCATGACTTGAAGTTTTTGCTAGCGAACGCATCACTTTGAGAGTCAAGGAATTACTGAGGACGATAACTGTGGGGAGCATGAAAGGGAGCAAGAGAGCCATCCCCTGCTATTTGCTTTTTGAATTGTTCTGTTGAGCATCCCTGTAGCCATCAATCCCTGTGGCCTAATCTAATGACCCTGATTCATCTCACACTGTCCCCTTCTGCAGCTAGATTCATCGACATTATGACGATTATACTGCTTTCAGAGATAAATGACCAATTTAAAAAGCCAGGTTGCAAAAGCAAAAGAGTCGAGTGATGAGAATAGGGGTAGGCATTTTAAACGAATGCAATAACCTTGTCTACAGATTTAGGTTGATCTCAGGACTGCTCCACCCTATGAGTCTTACTCTTTTGCAACGGGTACCTGTATCAGCTGGCATTGATGGTGAACATCAAAAGATCAACATTTCGTTGGCGCTGCAGTTGTCAAGAACATGGCTCAAGCGGATGGGGCATGAAGGTACCATTAGTGTTATTGCTTTCTACTCTCCGTGCGCCGGGAAGTTGAAGCCTACACATTTCAGCGGACGTTTTCCCGGATGCTAGTGAGAATGAGTGGCAACTTGGCGATCCCTTTAATGTTCCCCAAATGGTAGTTGAAGCGATAGAGTCATGTCAGTGGCGAGGTAGAAGTCAGATTGTCGACACTGATCGAGTACGATATTATTTGGATGGTGCGCATACTCCGAAAAGTATGGAGGTAAATCTTCATCTAACATAATTGTAGCGTATGTGATGGTTTTGATCTAGTTGGTGTAAAACAACGTTTCCTATCCGATTTCCAATCTTTGTAGATGTGTTCATTGTGGTTTGGGAAAGTGGTCACCAAAGCACCAAAAAGGAAACGAGTTCTAGTTTTTCAATGTACTGCTGATCGTAAACCATCCACCCTGCTCCCATATCTTGCTGTGAGTTTTTTTCCTGTTATATTCTGAACTCAAACTAATAAGTTCGAAACTAATAAGTTCGCTACTTACCTAGTTAGTTCAAACACGTTTCCGTAGAACGGCCTGCCCAACCGAGAGCTCCCTGATTTTTGGTTTAGGCTATAATCCTCGTCCATCTTGCGAACATCCGCCTCGTCGCGCTTTT